CCCCTGCATCGGCAGGCGGACTCTCAACCACTGCGCCACCAGGGAAGCCCAAATGATGGGTAATTTTATTACCTCTTTTCTAACGTTTGTGCATTTAATTTTCCAATTTCTTCTTTTGTCTGACTTCTTTTTCTTGCTAAGTTTGCCTGAGAGCTGCAGGGATGGGCATCTTTCCTCAACATCTTCACTCTGCATTTAATAGCCCTTCCTCATGTGTTGTGGCTTTGCATTTCTAATTTCTTAGAAGTTGAAGTTTACAATTTTTGTTTCATGTTCTTATTTCTTTTGGATGATTCTTAAGGAGAAAATGGAAAAGCTACTTTACTACACAAGCCTTGTAAACTCCTTAAAAAGACATTTTGATCAAAATATTGAAATCTGTGTCTGGTAAATAGCTGGGAAGCTTCTTAGTTTTCCCATCCTCTTCTCCTGACTCATTTCTTCTGTTTCCAACTTACTGTAAATAAATGCAACTCTTCATGTCAGATGTGCTCCAGCCCAAGCCCCAAGCGCTTGAGGACTGGACTGGACTTACTGACTCACTTCTAGAGTATGGAAAGGGGACAATAGCAGCTTTACAGCAAAGAAAGGTGGTAGGACACTGCCTTAACCAAGTGATCATGGTAAACATCACCAGTGATAAGTCATGTCCACATCATGTTCTGATGTGATGAGAAGGGTACCTCTGTAGATATACTTCTCTGTGGGTATAAAAGCCCACAATCCTAGTCTACCCAGTCTAATTGTGAGGGAAAAAATCAGACAAACCCAAACTGAGGGACACATAACAAAATACCTGATTATTATTCCTCAAAACGATTGGAGTTGTGAAAAACAATTATGTGAGAGACTATCACAGATCAGAGAAGACTAAGGAGGTATGACAAGAGTATAATGGGTTTTACTGGATTGGGTCCTGCAACAGAAAATGGACATTAGTGAAATCTAAATACATTCTGGAGTTTTGTTAATGTACCAATGATGATTTCTTAGCTTTGACCAATGTTTGGTGGTAATGTAGGATGCTAACAATAGGGGTAACTGGGTGAAGGATAGATAGGAA